CTTTCTGATTTTTGTTTTTTTAATGCACAAGGCTTCAGAAGTTTCCAGGACTAAAGAGGTTATTTCTAACGCTCTGGGCATTACATAGATCCTGTTTCTTCGTTGAGTGCTGAGTGTCATAAGGCTCGTTCTGGAGTGGGTTTAAGGATTTTCACATGAAGATCCTCTCTCCACTCTCGACTCATTCACTACCATCAATGCTGCTCCAATTTCCATTAAGTAAAAGGTTTTCTCTAATCCATACACACTGAACTGTGGCTTTGACTTCTGGAGGTTCTAGTAACATCAAAACACAAGAGCAGGGCTAAGTGATTTGTCAGGCAGCTTTTTAAAACTATTGCTTATAAAAGCAAGAAGAAAGGTTTGTCTTGGTTTAAGGCCAGGCTTGCATTAATTTTTTTGAACTACAATCCCCAAAATGCCATCTACCTTCCAGAAATGAAAGCCTGCTTCAATTTCACGTTGAGAATCTAAGATCAATTATTTGTATCCTGGCTTATAACTACTTAGAATGACGACATACCTAGGAAAGGTCTACTCGGCTAACGCGAGGCACAGAAAGGAACTCATAACCAGCCATACCTGAGTCCTGCTTTTGAGACATTATTTGGTCAAATGTTCCAGTTCTATTTTCCTTTGTAGTGTAGAACTGGTCCTTCTACATCCAATGAATGGAGCACTACATCCTAATAGTTGCTAAGTTTGTAACCCATTCTAATCCTCCTCTGCAGTTTATAGTCTGCCATTAAACACTTCCAAGTCAGGGAAATCTGGGGAAAATAGCTTCATCTAAGAACTTCTGAATCAGAAGATTAAGAATCCAACCGTAATTTTGACTTTTGGAAGTATAATTCTTTATTTTGAAACATATTATGTAGTATTTAAATTGTCTGGTAAAGAACAGGGTTAAAGTCAGGTGCCTTAGCACTGTGCAGAAAGAGGAAAAAGTCAACAATTGGGGATATGAGGCCATTTATTGGAGTCTCATCTTGGTTTCCTTAACTTAAAAGTCCAGACAAGGATATTTTGCACAAGGCAAAAGACTTTACCTTTCTGATGCCCTCATTTTTGTAAATAAAATGCTACCATATACTACCTTGGAAGGCTACAAACCTCTCTACAACAGGGCCAGCATGAAGCCAGAATGCATGAGCTTTCTGTTTCAGCACTCACTAAATGGAAAGATGGCTATTAATGTAACCCCCTGAAGCCTTATTCAAGGTATGATCACTATCACTACAGTATCTGCCTACTGGGATTTCCATACGGATTAAACAAGCCAATCCATGCAGAGTATTTAGCACAACGATGATTCATGGAAGGTGTTCTGTAAATAGTATTTGGGAGATGTTCTATAAATGGTAACTTTTGTCACTACTCAATCAGTGGCTTCTTTCATTCTTTCAGTCTCTATAATCTGTCACTAAATCCTGTCAATTAATATTTCAGTAAAGACATTGTTAAGAAAACAAAACAACCAGGATTCTGATGGCTACCAATGGGTGGTGAGATAACTATACCATAGCACCTCCAGACACTGGAATATTGTGTAGTATGAGATAAATCCATAAATATAGAAAAATATATTTTGTTAAATGAAATTAACTAGTTACTGAAGAGTATGTCTAAATTTATGTCCTTTGGCCAAAAACATGCTCCCAAATAATCAAGAACAAGCAATTAAAATGTCTAAAAAGTAGAATTCTATAACCTCCCAGAGTGTAAAAGTTAAAAAAGTCAGAGTAACAAGAAACACAAAGGCGCCATGAACAGCTGAGGATATTCTTCCTCCTAAGATCCAGCAATTATATTTCTGGATACACATATCCTAAAGGAATTCACATACCCAACAAGTCACAGAAGGAGATACACAGAGCACTGTGCAAGAAGAATTGGACACAACCTAAATATTCATCAGAAGTGTGATGACTAATATAGATTGTCAACTTGACAGGACCTACAATCTGGTAGGAGACAAGCCTCTGGGCATATGTATGAGGGATTATCTAGATCATTAGGTTAACTACAGTGGGAAAACCCACCTTAACTGATGGATGAATGAAAAGGAGAAAGGGAGCTGAGCACTAGCTCTTTCCTCTCTCTACTTCCTGACTGTGGATACAGTGTGACCAGCTACCTCGAGCTCTTCTACCATGACTTTCCTGCCCTGATGGATGATATCCCTGAACTGTGAGTCAAAAGAAACTCTTCCTTAAATTGCTTCCTGCCAGGTGTTTGATCATAGAATGAGAAAAGTAACTAATAGAGGAGGAAAATGGGTGACTTGTGTGTCCACATGATATAACTCATTTAGGGGTCAAAAAGAAGTAACTACATGTCTTCAATAAAAAAACAGAATGGGAGAGTGTTAAAGACATAATGTTGACTGAACACAACAGAGATGTGTGTATATGTATATATCTCCACTGATTATAGGTTATCTACGTAAGAGACGAATAAAAGATTGATAGGAAGGATGCACACCTACCTAAGCATTCTCGGTTACCTCTGAGGAGAAAGATGGGGGGATCAGTATGAAAACTGTACAAGGAAATGATTAACTGACTTTTTATGACTCTAAAATACCTAATTCAAATATGGCAGTAAGGGTCATGTCATTTTTTTTCCCAAGTAGGTTTTGTAGGCTATAATTCTTTCATAATAAAAAACTGGCAGGCTGGAATCTAGCTCTATGGCAGAGTGCTAGCATGCCCAAAGCTCTGAGCTTCATCCTCAGTACCACAAAACAAACAACAGAAAAATCTAACATTAAAGATCACTATGACCTTAGACAACTTATTTCTTCTCAGTCAGTCCCACTTTCCCCATCATAATGTGAGCACCACGATACCTTCCCTGAAGGATTACAGTGAAGAAATGAATGGAACAGGCCTTAAAAAAACAACCACAGTATTGACACTGTTGTAATTACTGCCATCCAACAGGTTCTTTGTCCACAGTGTGGAACATTCACTCAAATTTAAGGGCAGCAGCCTCCTGAAATGCCGCATCATCTCACTGTCCTCTCCCCCTGGCTGACCCACCCACGTGCCAATCTGTCGTGTTGAAGCCATCCTACATCCCTGTTCTGTCCTCAGCCTCTCAGTGACAGAATTTATTTCTTTTACTGCATTTTGAGACCCTCTTAAGATGCACACGTTTCATTCAACTTGCTATGTCTAGTCAAATGAAAGAAAGAAGGAAGGAAAAGACCCAGGACTGGGCTCTAATTTTGGCTCTCAGAGGAGACCTCGCCATGACCTTGGACAAGCCCTTTGAGTTCTGTGATATGGGGGGGGGGCATTACAATTGCGATATGAAGCACCCCCCATGGGCTTATGTATTCGTACTCTTGGTCCACAAGCTGGTGGTTCTGTTTTGGGAGGCTCTGGAAACTCTGCAGCGGTGGCCTAGTTAGAAGTGCGTCTTGATGGTGAGATCTACTTAAGGTTCCTTGGAGCTCTCTGCTTCCTGCATGGTGCTATGTAAGATGCCACTACAAGGCCCCAACCTCACAGACCAAGCCTGTTCAGCTGCTATGCCTTCCCACCACAGTGGACTACACCCTCTGAATCACTGGCTGAAACAAATCCTTCCTCCTTTAAATTGCTTCTGTGATACAGTTGTCACAACAACAAGAACAGTTATTAATACAGGTGGTTTTACTTGACGATCATATTTTAAATGTGTCTTCTGGTACTTAAGGCATGTTCTTGAGACTTCTATACTCAGTCAATTTTCCCCGTTCTCAAAACAAATTCTTTGTAATCTAGTTGGATTCCTTAGTGTGGTGCAAACATGGCATTGTTAACTCTGTTCTGGTGTCTAAATCTTATTTGGGCTTCAAATTCCTGCTGAAGTTCTGGGCCTTCCAATGATTTTCTTAATATCTTTGACTCCTAATGTAAACAAACAAACAAAAAAAAAACCCTAATACTATATAATGGATAAGGAAACAGTCACTGTTCTAAAGTCTTTATATATACACTAACTTATTTTAGCCTCATGATAACTGCTATTATTATCAGACCATCTTTACTATTTGGAAAACTGAGGTATAAAGGCATTCACTGACCTTGGACAAGGTCATATTGGCTAGTATCTGGGACAATCAGCACTTGAACCCATGTGGTCTGTTTCTTCATCCACTTTCCCACCCTACTAAAAGCCCTGTCTAATCAATAACTTTGAATACCTGTACATGTCATTTAGTGCTCTGTTAAAATGGAGAGACACTGCTGTATTATTTTATATTCCTTTACATTTTCAGTGAATCAGTTAAGTCCCATACATAGTGAGTGTTAGATTGAATGTGCATATATACAAGCTCTGGGAGACAGACTTCTCTACCAGCTCTGAAGAAAGGAGGCAGCTAGGAATCTACCTTCATGATACCAATTATTTGTATTTTATGGGCATTGTTAGTGACCTTGTGAGACAAACAGGCTAGATCATCTCACAGATGGCAAGAAGTAAGCTGCCGAAGAGTTAAACAGCTGGTTCTAAATTCTGCACTGCACAGCAGTGGTTGGACTACATTAAAGCTACCAGACTCCATGTCACACATTTTTCTATACCAAGTTTTATGAGATTTCTTCAGCTTTACGCTGCAGCAGTGGAGAAACGAATATGGACATGAAATACCGGCCCTGAAACAGGTAAACACTTTCATTGCCTTTTGTTTGTTTTGGTTCTGAGGCAGGGTCTCATGTCTCCCAGGCTGGCCTCCAACTGGCTATGCAGCTGAGGATGACCTTGAGTTCCTGTTCTTCCTGCCTCTACCTCCCAAGTTCTAGGTGCATTTCCCCATGCTTAATACTCTTAATCTCTGCACGGCTTAATTAAAAAAAAAAAAGAAGAGAATTTGGTGGAAAGCAAGGAGACACTCTGTTCTTAGTCGCCTGTCCTCAGGTGTTTCCTAGGAGCGCCTGTCCTGACTCTCACTTGGATAGAACCGGCAATCCTTCAACATCGCTGCCTATAACAAGCTGGATCCTTACCTGTGACTCATACCACTGCCATGAGCTTGCAGGCTTTCTTTGCTGGCCACCTGGGCTGCTTTTCTGCTGGCTTCTTCCGTCTCACTCAGGCTTTCCTGTTCAAGACTGTCCTCCTCTAAGCTGTCACGCTCCATATCTTTGTCCTGTATTTGACCCTCAAGTTCAGACTGGGACTTAGTCTCTTGAGTGAGGCTTTCTGAATCCAATTCTAAGGAGTCTCTTGAAATCAGACTTAAGTCTTCTTTCTTAAAAGGTTGGTGTGAAGACTGGGCCCTTACGTTGGTATGATGGACAGGAGATTGACTGGAAAGCTTTGGAATTAGTTTATTATTATTCATCCTGAAAAATAAAAACATGAAATAGTGATACTCTCGTTAACAGAAGCAGTTAACTGATAGTTAAAGCTGTGGCTCTCAAAAGCATTACCTAAAAAAAAATTCTATTTGTTATGCTGTGACTACTGCACTCCTAAATGGCAATGTTTCTCAAGCATTTCGGTGAGCAAGCCAACCTTGCTATATTACCTGCAGGCCTTTGAATGCAGCCTTTTGTGTGGATGAACAAGGCCGATTGGAAAAATGATTGTTTTTCTCTCTGAAGAAACACAGCTCATAAGCAGCCTGAGTAATCGAATGCAGTTTTATTGAAGAAATCAAATGGATGCTTGAAAGCAGATTCCTGTTTCCAGCTTCCAAGGGCTTGTTACAAACAAGCCGGAACAAAGCCAAATGGTTAATTGTGAGCAGTACTTTGGTGGCCTTATTTCAAATGCCCAGGACAAGTATGTGTGTGTGTGTGTGTGTGTGTGTGTGTGTGTGTGTGTGGTCACAGATACAGTCAAAGAGGTTCAGGGTCTACCTTGTAGAAAGTAAAGGAAAGAGAGGAGTGGTTTCCCAGCTGGAACTGTAAACAGTTATTTCTAGACCAATTTTGGCTGGTGCCAACACTTGGAACAAACTTTTGTTACCCAGGGTGCTACTAGAGAGGGATGTATAATTTGGTGGACATTATACGTCGATCAATCTCTGTCCAGTATTAAACAACAACAAAGCAACAATAATGATTAAAAAATGTTCAGTAAACTAGGTATGGCACACATGCTGATAAGCTCAGCACTGGAGGGAGGAGGAGGATCAGGAGTTTAAGGCCAGCATAGGCTGCATGACACCCTAAGCTGAAAATTTTTTAAAATTTCAAACTGTTCAACCGAAGGTTTGGTGGTCTTGTGAATCCTACCACTGAGTGACTCAAAGCAGCGGCTGGGTATCCACCTACCTGAAAGAAGCTGTTTCCAAGCAAAGCTGTGTAAGTAGGTGACCAGTCTGAATCACAGCTAGGAGTTGGCAGCATCTTCCAAACTGGCTTAAGTGTGTGATTCCAAGGGAACCCTCATTGCCTCAAAGGGCTATGACAGACCCAGGAGACAGTTTACGGGAAAATATGGGTTTGGAAGGAGAAGGTGTTTGGAGATTGGACTTATCTCTACCATTTCTGTTTTGGTTTATCATCTATCTCCTCGCCTTTATGACTGT